AAGGTCCTGAGTTCAGCTCCCAGTACTAAAAGCAAAACAAAAACAAAGCAAACAGGAAAAGCACCTGGATTGGGGGTGTTATCTCACCACAATTCATTTAAAATAAAAAACAAAATAAAACAAAAAATAAACTGGAAGTCAACTGTGATTCTGTAAGTTGATATACTTGTTTGTTTTCCTTCCCCTGTTACGAAGTGCGTAGACCTTTACAAGGGAGATCAGTAAGTCACAGGAAATCAAGATGTGGCAAATTCTTTGTATCTCATGTGGAATGGGAAAAACACATGACCCTGGTACACCCTCTTCCTTTTCTCCAGGTACCATTAACCTGTACTATCAAAAAGTAAAATAAATTAAGCCATCATTAATCCTGTGGTAATTGGGCTTGGGACTGTAGGCTGGTAGTGTTTTCTAATTTGTCCTTGAAATAAATGGGAGCAACAAATTGAATATTCCACATTAAATGTAAGAATTAAATGTTCTGTATTCAATATAAGAAGGTGCCAGGGGAGGAGAGGGCTGGGGCTGGCACAGAAGTGCACATAGAGGATGGGGTAATGAAGGAGGTCGTGTAAGGAGCAGAGGCTAACAAGAGCTAGTCTTGTTAGAAAAAACTGGCCAGAGGGAGATGAAGCCACTTCTGGTTCTCCTGAGAGTCCACTACAGTAGAATGTCTATGCTCTCCTCTCAGAAGTAAAGTAAATTTAAAAAGGTTGAATGGCACTGGATTTTTCAAATTTAAATTTTATTACTTGATTAGCTGTAATTTTAAAAAATATTTTTATTCCAAAAATGAATTTTCCACAATAATGCAATTAGTTTCAAAATGAACTCATTTATCTATCTTCTACAAAGGACAACTGAAACACTTAAGGCAAAATTCGCTTATTCATCTCCATTGTAAAATGGAAAAAAGTAACAGACTTCAGGTTCTGGTTAAGGTTAACATAATATGGGAAACTCCTTTATCTTTGTTCTTTCTCTCTTTTTGGTAGTTTCCTGTGTAAAAGCTTTACATTACTATGATATTTTATAGTAAGACACTTTCGTTTTTGACTTTCTTTATAAACTTATTTTTAAATTTAAAGGCACACAACAAAGCTTTATGCATTTATTAAAATATACACATTTTGGTAAATTTAGAATTTTTCCTTAGTACTTTGATAAATTAATATACTGTCAACACCACAGTCATTTGAAAATAAAGTACACTCCATAGTACATTTGCATATTATTTCTTTCTTCATAATACATTACAATACCCATTGTACAGTGCACCAATGGGAATTAAAAACCACAAAGCAAACAAACTTTAACAAATACAGCAATTTCATACAAAAAAATAGCAGAGAACAACACCAGAAATTACCATCTGCAAAATGCAAGTTGTACTTGTCAAGGACCAAAACAAAAATGAAACAAGTTAGTAAAAGTTACAAGCTGTTATTTAGAACTTTGGATATGAATTTAACAGTAACATTTCTTTTCCACAGTGAGAAAAACTAGAATGTCCAGTTCGGTTGTCAGATGGTGCGACTACGTGGAGTGAGGACTATAGCTGCTCTCCTTCAAAATCATTTAGACCCTTCTCTCAGCCTGACAGTTGAGGTATTTATGAGCCATGTAACATCAACAGTGTCTCTTCTTTGGAAAGTGGGGGTTCATGAATTCTAGGGTAAATTCTCAACTTCGGAACTGCGAGTGAGACAGGTGTATCAGCAACTGCCAAGATCAGTCAGTAGGTGTGCACAGAATAGTTTCCCCATCCCAATATCAGAATGAACACAATCCTTCCAAGTCTGCATGTCTTGAGAAATTCACATGAACCACAATTTCCTTTAGCTAATGTTGTCAATGTCAGTGTCAGGAAAGCTTAATAGAAAAAATAAATTAACCAGTAAACAAAAAGCGCAAAGGAAGTCCCCAGGGTAAAAAACCAGGCTGCCCGTGTTTTCTAGTTCTAATATAAAGCCATTTAAATCTTACCTGGTGTATACCAACATGCACTAAGTGTTCTCAAAGAGTAAGAAATTAGAACTACCTGCTGTCAGGAAAATTCAAGCCCCAGGTGACTTTGTGTAAGTCCTGTGTGAGTTGTGTAAGTCCATGCGTGTGCTATGCTGTTTTATGGTTTCTAACACTATTTTAGTTGATACTGCAGAATACATGTTCACTTTTGATGGGCTTCAAAACTTCCACGGATCCCATTTGGGCTTTAAGTTCTTAAAAAAAGAAGACATTCTATATTTCGTAGAGAAGTCATTTTGGCAAAATCAGCTGCCTAGGTACTTCAGAGTGACGCCCCTGTTACTAAGAGGAACAAGACAAGCAGGATGAGAAAAGCATTCCCGAAAGGAAGCTGTCTGTGGGGGTGGGAAACAATTCAACAGCTTCTTCTTTAAAGCCTTAGAAAAAAGTAAAGTGGGACACAGGACTCACAGCTATGTCCATGAAAGGGGCTTTGTCTTCCCCATCACAGTCCAACTAAGGAGTGCAAAGGCAGCTCCTGGGGAAGCAGCATCTGGCCCCTGCTCCCGGGGGGCCTGCGGTTTGGGGTGCTGTGTTTACACTTATGGGTTGCTTAACTACAAATCCTAGCTCTTTCATGGCCAGGCCAACACTGGTTACCTGTTAGGGACTTGCTCTTAAGATCTCCAAATGGCCTCAGCAGACAAATCCTCGGAGCTGGAGAAGTACATCTGAATCGGGGAAGCTGAGGTTCCATGAAAATTGTCATTCCCCCCCAGACCTTGTTGTGAGCATCATGCCACACAACCCCAGTGGTGAGGTTTGGGATGCATTTGCTTTGCTTTATTCCCTTCCCCCTTCCCGTAGGAAATGAAGAGTCCCTCTGGACTACTCAGTAACCTGATACTTAAATCCAAGAGTGGACCATTCACTGCCACCAAGTGAGCAGACCCAAGCTCTGCCTTCAGATACATTTTCCCATGTCTGATTTCTGCACACAGCTAAGCATTTCTAATCTGAGACACAAAATTAGATGCTCCTGTGGCTAACTTACAGACTTTGCAATGGTGTCTTAGTCTCTTGGTAAAACCTGCTGGTAGAGGGGATGGCAATTTCCTCCAGGCTTCTAGGTGATTCTCCAAATGATATAGGTTCTATTCAAGATGTAGAGGAGAGGCAGTTCCTTGTAAGTAAACCTCCTCCAAAACATGGTCTCAAAGGTGTCCACTTTGTCAACTGTTTTCAGCAGAACAGAGGAAAGACATTGCTTTGAGTTTTGTTTCCTAATAATTAGTGTATTTATATCTTGACTGATCCATATATTTTGGAGGAGAGACTGTTAAATTCAACAACTCCCTTCCTCATGCTCCCTGTCTTTATTTAAATTTAAAACCACAAGTCATCATGACTATGATACAGATATTTGATTTGAAGTAGAACTGGATTTTTCACTTCGCTGTGTCTTTCAGTTTCTTTCCCTAGCTCAGAGTGGTCTAGCACTGAAGCTGAATAAACCTGGGAACTGAGCTTTTACTGTTTAGAGAGATACAAAAAATTGTTATCTTGGTTGTTGAAACTTTCTATTAAATTTTTAAAAGTGGCTGTAAATAACTTTGTGTTGTGTGTTTATACATTAAAAGACTGTTTTTCCTTGGTTAATGATGAAATCAGACATGGGATTCAAAAAAGAATCATAAATTGCTTTTAAGTATGGACACTTTTTCCTTTACTGTGTTAAATCAACTTGGCGTGTGCGTGTGAGTTGGCAGTGTCTTGCACAGGCAATGAAGGCACTGCCCCAGCTTTTTTCAATCCAGCCTTCTATGAGTCACACTTTCATCGTGTCCCTAGTCTCTCCCCGCCCAAGGAGAGCCAGCCAGCCTGATGTGCAACTAACCCACCACCCCGGCATTATTTCTTATTGTTCCATGCATACGTCAGGCATAAACTAGCTCCTCGCTTTCCCTCGAAGGAAGCACAGTACAGATTAGTTAGAGAGTAGTTGTCAGCCACAGCCTGTACCTTACTCATCCTTTGTTTGGTATACCTTTGTCCCATTTCTATCTAGTAAAGGTCTACTTATTCCACAGGCTCACACAAGAGGACAGAAGAACTCTGTTCTTTTCAAGCTTTCCAATGGAAGATCTTTTCCATATCTGCACCTCTATTGTACACAATGACTCTCATCTTCCTTATTACTATACTTTGCTTATATATCCTACTTCCCTTTATTTCTTAAGAACTGGATTTCTATTTTACTTATTATTGTATAAAATATGCTATAGCACATAGTAGGCACTCTGAATAATTGGTGAATAAGTACTCTATTTTTCTCCAATACATTCATTCATTTGTCCGTCCGTCCATCTGTCCATCTATCCATCCATCCATCCAACCATCCATCCAACCATCAGATATTTATTGAAAACCCACTGTACAGCAGGCACATGTAGCTACTAAAATATAGATTTGAAGCTTATCCATAGATTTCAATGGTCCGTGCTCTTTCAATCCTCTGTCCTTATGGGGAAAGACCTATTTATATCATGCAGCAGTATTTTTTGTCATTATTGCCAATTTTATTATTTTTAATGTGCCACTTCCTTGGCAAATTTGTACACTAAACAGACTTCTAGCTTTGCTTTATCTTATATTTCTGTTTTTATCAAAATTTTCACTTAATTCTTGTTTTGGATAATATGTAGCTTAATGGCTCCCTCAGATCTTTATAAATTGATGTAGAGAACCAAGAGGTGAGTAGAATAAAATTTAAAAAAACTCAATTGGCTCCAAACCACCAATTTCACACACTGAAATCTCAAGAAGAGTACTTGCCCTAGAGAATGATTCAATAAAATGTAGGTCTTTCTTGGGTTGCATTAAGGGGGCTGAATTTCTAAGACACAGTGGTACCTCAGTGGTACCTCATGAATTTAATCCTTTCCAGGATTCTGGTCTCAAACCAAATTGGATGAGAACCACATCAAATTCAAATGTTAGGTTCAATGTTGACCTTATGGGAAAATTTGATTAGTTACTCATCCAATATGGTTTGTGACCAGAATTGCTGAAAGAATTAAGTTTGTGAACTAAGGTACCACTGTAATTATGTATATACTGATCTATTTTCAGTGCAGTCCCACAAACATAATATTTACAGTTCTGTTAGGAAGACCCTAATATAGTTATTTCAATTATTGATGATATTTGAAAACTGCATTGTGAAATATGGAACTATTTCACAGAAACTGGGAAATATAAGAAAAAACATGTCATTGTATTGCAAGAAACTTTGCCTACAATATTGATTTTTTTTTAAACCCAAAGTTGCTAGGGAGATGATCTATCACCTTTTAAAAATAAAGAAGAAAGCTTAAAATATATAAAGACAGTATTTGGGAAAAAGGGTTTTTGAAATGAGAGTGGTTCACGGGCTCTGCACAAAAGTGTCAATGGTGTTAGCTAGAGCAAGCGTTCTTCCTGCTTATGCTATAGAAATGCACAACCTGCCATTAGAATATAGCTACTTTAAGACCTAAACCTCATAAGAAATAACAAATTCTTTTACCCACATCAAGTTTTTGTTATTTTACATACATGTTTTTCTTCAACGTATTTAATGAATATAACTCCACTCCATCTATCTAGATTATATGTCAAGCTTACCAGATTGTATTTGGTCAGACTTCTTGAGTCTTAAAACCAGTTTAAAACTTTGTTTTCACAAAGATTACTGATAATTAGTTTAGAGTTAATCCTCAAGGATACATGCCACACACCAGGCCCTGTACCTTTGTGGTTACATTTAGGGAAGAGAAAACACAGCATCATCAAGCATGACGTGAAAATGAGAAAATGTACTCAGGAAGCCAGAGTTCTAAACAATTAATACAGAGGGATAAAAAAAAATCTTAAAAATGGTAGTCATTTCAGTTTAACAGTAGACATTTGTTGTGGGCATGATACCCAGTTTATTTAAGAGTTATTTTAAAGAAATCTACTTTCAATCAATTTTTACACGCTATGTTGGAGTCCAGTGAATCAGTCACAAGGACCTGTCAAGTTTGGTTGTTGTATCTATGTCTCTCAGGCTCTGGAGTGTCTCCTTCCTGAATAGTGAACCGGAAGGGCAGACACTATATTTCTTCTCATACTTTTCACTTAGCACTGGGGCTATGCTCAATTACGGTTAATTGAATGAATAAATGAACTTTACTTCTTCTGCCAAGGCATGAGCCTCAAGTTTTAAGAAAGAATATGTCTAAATGTAAGTTGATGTGTTTTGGACAACTTTTGGCAGGATGATAAATTGAGGAGAAGGAAGGCAAGAAATTCGCTGCTTGTCCCCTTCCAGAAAATTCTCACAAAGATCTTAGCTTGATTAAAAACATCGTCTTCACATACGTGCATACACAATTCAATGTAGCCAGTGGGAATCCTTGAAATTACAGCCCATGTGGTGTTTCCTGTTTATCCTGTTTCAGAGAAAATTCTTTTAAGAATCCTTTCTATGGCCCCAATTTAGACCTTATCAGGCAGATATTTCTTTGGGCTACAGTGAAAGTGTTTTGGGAAGAAACAGAGGTAAATACTCTAAAAAGTAAACTACCCTAGAGGCATAAGGCTCAGAAGTGAAATGTGATCTCATGGAATGTAATTACCTAAGCAGCAGTGCTTCAACATTTTTTGTTTTCAAGGTAGGGCCCACCAATCAAGTGGTTGCATGTCTAAAAAAAACTTGCAGAATTAATAATTTTAGAAGTATGAAGTAAAATTTGCAATGTGATCTCAGTGGCTGGGTCACTTCTCCTTGCAAAGATTTTTATATGATTACAAAAACAAACAGCTCACTTCTTCAAGGCATATTAGTACCGTGAAATCTCGCTCCACCTTTGCCCTCTGTCATCACATCAGCAGGAGTAGAGTCTGGCACAAGGGAAGGCATGACAGACAGTTACATTTCTGCCAATGCCCTTCTGGCCTTGCTGGCAAGAGCTGGTTATTTAATTTTTTCTGGGCCTTGAAGTAGAGTTTTGATGATGCTTCTTACCATATTATTGGGTTTGAATCTGAAACTTTTGGGGAAATGGTCTGAGAGCCTTTGCCTTTGCTGGATCCTAAGACACTGTTTGGAAACTGGGAGAACACGGATGAAAAAAAGGAAGCGTGTGTTTTCTCCGTGACATTTTTGGGGTGAGTCTGTTTACTGAGGAAGGGCTGACACCCGCCTGCTCACACTGACCTGGGGAGAGGGGCTCAGCCTGACACGCTGAGAATACGTCTTTGCCTTTGTGCTCTCAGGGGGCTGAAATGCTGCCCACATCCACCGTTCTATTGCATCTCCAAAGGAGCTGCAGCCTCTCTGGGGTTCGAGAATCTTGCCCCTTGCTTCTTGGGGTCTCAGCAAGAAGCAAAAGAATTCAACCAGCAAAGCAAAGGCCTGGGAAACATTTGCTACCTTCAGCGCTACTGGTTTCACCTTAGATGGAATTTCATGCATCCTCTTGTTTATTCTTTTTCATAAGGGGACCAGTTAGGAGCCCTGGGTTAAACCCTTCTGTAGAACCATTCTGACAAGCAAAAATAGCAAGTGATAGGGCATGACTGGGATTGACTTTGGGGAAATATGAGTGAAAAAAAGTGTTCACCTTCTAGCCCACAAGTGAAGTTGCTGAAAACCAATCACCATTTCTACCCTCTGTGTGTTTATGCTTACTCTGGAGAATAATCTAACTCATCATTTGCAATCAGGGCCTCTGAGTTCTGTTTGTGTTTGCTTTTGCTCTTAGCTTTGCTACTTGTCCGGCTGTTTGCCTTCGCATCTGACATCTGTTGGTAATAGAAGCCTTTGTCTTCGGGAGGCCCGCCCCAGTTCTCCTGGCTCTCGCCCTCTGTGGCATAGGAGAAGCCCTCCTCCACCGAGAAGGGGTCGTCCACATCGTAGCGCTGGTATGTGCTTTGGTGCAGGGCCTCCTCCCGGGCGCTGATTTCCAGGGTGCTGTTCCAGATGCCGTACCCAAAGTAAATGAGCACACCTGTGGGTGGGGAGGAACAGGCGAACAAACATTGCTTTGGGATCTGAGGGACTTTGGGGAGATCACCTTTGACGGTAAAACCAGAGCTGGAAGCGACGTGTATTCTGTGATCTACGTGGTGTTTTGAAAAGACTTGAATTAGATGGCATTTTAAAAATGGAGAGATCTATTGTGGGGGCTGGGGATTTAGCTCAGTGGCAAAGCGCCTGCCTGGCAAGCGCAAGGTCATGAGTTCGGTTCCTGGTACCAGAGAAAAACAAAAAAACAAAAAAACAAAAAAACAAAAAAAAAAAGGAGAGATCTATTGTGAAATAGAAAGAGAATTTTCAAATGGGAAAGGGAACTGGGGATGGGAGAGGGAGAAAGGAAGGAAGAGAAAGGAAAACAATGATGAGAAAAGAAGGAAAAAATGGAAACAAAGCTTTTGTAAATTGAGAGGGAAGGGGGGGGCGGTTGAAGGGACAGTAGGGGAATGGGAAAAAAAGAGTCAAGTTGTATCATGTATAGGTACAAATTCTCTAAGATGAATGTGACCATTATGTATACCCAAACTGTACCAATAAATGTAACTAATTTAAAAAAGGAAACTGCAGAAGCCAAAAAAAAAAAAAAAAAAGAGATTGTGCATTAAGCAACCTGTGTCTATAGCTTCCTCTAAATTTGAAGAACTTGACAGCCTGGCACCCACATTCCTGTGAGGGAATTTCTCTCTAGATATGAGAATTTGCTGCTTCTTTAGACAGGACACAGGCCCTCTGGGTCACAAGAGTCCCCACCTTCTTTGCTGACATCTAATTCGTTACTATTCTATAGCCGCCAGCCAGGAATTTGCATTTTCTGCCTTGGGTTAAATAGTTATGGATCAGCAGCAATAGATTCCCACTTTCTTGTAACATTTTGTTATCACCTGCGTCTACTTAGGGACGCTAGCTCATTGCGCTCTATTTTTTAGACTGCAGAAAACTGATACGTAATGTTTGGTAAATGAATGAATGAGAACTGTTGATGAGCCTGACATTCCCAGGGCAAATTATTATTAATTTTCTGGGGACTGGGAATTGAACTTGGGGCCTCACGCCTGCCAGGCAGGTGCTATGCTGAGGAGCTACATCCCCGGCCCTCCAGGGCAAATTCCTTCTGCTGATGTCATTCCATCTAAAGGAAATGCACCCTCCCAGATACATGTAGCATTCACAGGGCCTAATGTCTCATTCCCACAATTTTTTTGGATAACATACAAAAATCATTTAGGCCCTCATTCTCCACTTTAAAAAATCCATGAAATTCAGGGCCTAGAAAGCGGAGGACCAGAGACTTGGTGGCCATAGGGCACAGTGAATAAGAGTGCAGGCTCTGGGTTCCAATTCCACCTCTAGCTGTGTGATTCTGGCACCATTAACCTCTCAGCTTTTTATTCTGTAAACCCATGGGAGTTAGAGCAACCCTATAACATTGGCTTAAGGAGGAAATAAAATAAGTAGTGATTCTCAATCTTGGCTTTTATACCTATGCCTCACTCGCTGTTGGAAATTCTAATTTAACTGGTTTTCTGTGCAACCCAAGCACAGGTGTGTTTTTTAGGCTTCAGAAGTTATTCAGCCCAGGCTGAGAATGCCTGGGATAAACTAAGCCTGCTGCACATTCTGCACTGCCCACTTGCATGCCATGCCATGGATGTGGGCCCCACTCAGTTATGGAACTTCCTTCAGGCTCTTAACAGCTTCTTCTGAGTGGCACTGGCTCCTCTGACTTTGGTGCCCTCTGGCATCTGCTTGGCTGTTTGCTTAGAACTGCACATCAAATCGCTTTCTAACTCTAGTGCTTGAGGAATCTCACTCCCTTTTGATTCTGAAGTATGTCTTTTTAAGCTTGGATTTCTCCCTCTTTGTCTTAATTTACTTTCTCTCAACCCCTCCCTGACCCCCCTGTGAAATCAACTTTCCAGGAGCCAAAGTAAGCAGAGATTTGTAGTCCTAATTGGAAATAAATCCTGGAGTTAATCATTAGCAGATGTAGCTGTTACTGCTTACATAGCAGCTTCATCTTCTTGAGCATGAGTCTTTACGCTTTCTTGTCTGGGGGTGGGGACGGCCATGCGGGGTAGCCGTTATCATCGCATAGAGCACAGCACCACGTTAGGGCCTCTTCTAAAAGGGCCAGTTTGCTGGCTCTTGGGGAAATTCTCTGTTGGAAGCATGTCTGGGACCTGAGAATGAATATTTCAAGTGACCAATGGGAACAGTAGGACTATACTTCCTTTTACCAAATTTTGCTCTTTTGCCTTTCTTCTAGACAGATAGGTGTCGAATGTTGCTTCTGACTTCTGCTTAGATCTATTGTGTCAGTTCTATTCCTTTTGATCCCCTTCCCTAGCCCTATTTATAGATTGGCCATTTCCATACTGAACTTAGTACCATGTGTTCCTTTACCCTGAACTTTCCTCCTCTGTTACTACACAGGTCCCTCCCCAGCCCAATCACTGGCTTGACCTCTATTCTACAGACCTTCTCTTGCTCCTACCAAGTATTTGGGCATTGGGGAGATTCACATGGTAATTCTCTAAGAACGTGGTGTGTTTGACTACAAATATTTGAGGTGGAAAGGCTCTACTGATCATTTATGTATTCCAGTGCTTTCACTTTACAGAAGAAGAAACTGAGGCTGGTAACACTAGGCAATTTGCCTGGGTCAGAATGGGCAGAACTGGCCTTGCATATGGATCAAGTACCTCACATAACTCATTCTCCCACCTCCCCTCCTCAGTAGGTTTATAGAGCATGCTCAGTGTAGTAAATAGTCAGTGAGACCAGAGGTTCACAGTTCTTTGAGAGTGGCCAGGCCTGGAAGTAACATGTGAGTATGCTCATATGCATGTACGGCTGCATATGTATGTATGTACTATTACTTTGGAGAAGGCAACTTGTGAAGACCATGAAGGCAACATAAATATTGATGGATCTTTTAATGTTTGCAACAGTCCCCTACACTCTGTCTTCAAATACCCGTTTGGGAGAGGGTGCAGCTCTGTGCAGGCAGCCGGCGCGGGCAGAGCCATTCTCCCCAGCATGGATTTGCTGTCTGCTTTTGTCCTTTTTGCTGGCTCTTGACTCAATTCAGGAAAGGTGGCATGAAGTAGAGGAGAAGGATGGGAGAAAAGGAGAAATGGAGAGGGAAAAAGAAACAGAGGGGGAACAAATGAAGGGAAAGACGGAGGGAAGGAGCAGAGAAACACGTAGGGCCATCTGTCATACATGAACAAGGCTTTGTGTGAGGAGTTCATAGTGCATTCACCGGGGCGTACGGTGCATGCCATTGTTTCAGCTCCCTTTTTGAGCTGGTGTGGAGAACTATGCGTTGGGTAGTTTCTGAAAATGCAGTGAGGATTCTTGGAATCCTGTCCTCTGAGCTGAACTTCACACAACACCCCTGTGCAAGCTCCTGCAACAACAGGAGCGCTGTCACACCTTTCTTCCAAGAGCCTTGCAGTGTTACAGAGATGCTGTTCTGTTCAGACTCAGCCTAGCCTGTTTGGGAAGGGGTGTGCGTGTGCGTGTGCGTGTGCGTGTGTGTGTGTAGCTGCTGATTATGTGCACTCAGACAGAAAACAAAGCAGAACAAGTAAGTGACTGCCCACAGCAAACTTGAGTGGCTAGACTGTGGATCCTCCCAGGTGTGCTCATCCCCTAACCCAGAAAGCTTCCAGTTCTCACATTTCTTGCATCTGCCAGGGGAGGCTATGAGGTATACATTGATGGGAAAGAACTTTGCACTTTCTCCTTTGAAGACTTTCAAACATATGCAAAGTTCAGTGAATACAGCCATCAGTCCTGTCACCAGCCCCCCATTCCCTTCTCTCTTTCTGTTTAGACTGTTTTTGAAACAAATCCCTCCCATCACAGGTTTCATCTGTAAATGTTTCAGTATTTATCTCTAAAATAAACTCCTTCAAAACTGTAACTTAGAATCATTATCACATCTAAAAATTAACAACATTTCTGTTAGCAGCGGTATTGAAATTTCCCTGAATTTTTACAAGCACAGGGGAAATCCTACTAGGCTATACACTTATCCCAAAGATGCCATCGTTACTTGAAATTATTTTTGGTACTATTGTTTAGAGCTGCCACTGGGACTGGCACCATATTTTTTGTAAAGCCTTAAAGACAGCAAAATTTTATCCTTTCAGGGTGGATTTGATGACTGATGTGGGCTAAAGTGCTACCAAGCTTCAAGAATAAGGTCATTAATTAATAAATAAGATTCATTTTTCTGCTTGAATACTTAATCCATCCTTTTCTTAAAAGGCAGAATTTCTCTGCAGTTACACATCTTATATCTGTAATAAATTATTCAAAGCCAGGTGTGATGGTAAAAATTAAAAGGGAGCCAGCTTTTGGGTTGCAGCGAGATCCTGGAGGCTTCCCCACTTGGTTGGAATTATTTTCTTAGCTGATGGGTCACACAGGGCTGCCGGGTGTATCAGGTAGCTAGCAGCAGGTACAGAAGTGTATCAGCATTTTAACATAAACATGGCTGTACCGGGGCGTACGGTGAATGCCAGCCCTGCCCAAAGTAATGACAGTGAATTCTGTGAAAGGCTGAAGGGAAGGTAAATATTCAAAGGGAAACTTTGATTTCTTTTCTGGACAGACTCCCTTGGTGGAGAATGTGTTTATTAGAGGATCAAGCTGAACAAGATAAGGAATCACTGAATGGGCTTTCTTGATGTAATAAAATATGTTGTGATCTTAAAGTCATTTATAAGTGAGAACTGTATCAGCCATTATCCCAGAGAAGTTAAGAACCACACAAAAAATCAGCCATTGAAATACCCTCAGAACTCACATCTCTCTAGGTAGAGGGCTGTTCCCATTTCATACAGGGACTCCAGGGAAGGTTTAGGACTGTCATACCTGTCTGAAGATGCCAGGGCACCTGGCTGTCATTCTCCAAACACCTGCTCACGTACTTGGGCTTTCACCCTTGGCAAGCTAAGCAAA